TTATATAATATAAAATGGAGCCTTCTGTAGAAAACCAATTAAAAAAACAAGTAACATCAAAACAAATAAAACAAGTAACAGCAAAATAACAAAACAAGTAATAACAAATTTTTACCAAGTATTACAATTTTTGTTACATTGCCAATATTTATTATCTTTATTTTAGTCTAAATGAAATATGAAACATGTGCACTTCTATGCATATATCGACCATATATCGGACCTGCCATTTTGTTCTTTTGTAATTTTGACATCGAATTCGTAATCAACGATTTTAAAAACCTCGTGATATTAGATTTTAACTATACATTAAATGTAGGTATTTATAAAAGTTATATCTGCCATATTGGATGGCTGCGCTATTTTTTTTTTGCAATTTTGACTTCAGATTTATAATCAGTGACTTTGAAAATTCTTAGGTATCAAATTTCGTATAAATTGAACAATTCTTTCGTATTTTGACCAGCTTTTCGGGATTTAGAACATACTACCGGGTGTCCGTGCTTATTATGCTCTAATAATTGCCCTACTTGTCACGTGCAGCGAGAGACTCGTTTGCGATAAAAATGATACGCGCGTGTACCTGCACAACGGAGTTTCGAAAGGTTCTTTACGTGCTATTGCGTTGCATTTTAAATTTAAATGATCCCTCAAGACTCTTGAGAAAGCGCAACCTCCTCCTCTTTCTTAAAGTCTTTTGAACATCCTACAGTTGCAAGAATAAGATGATTACTCATGTCATCGGTAAATGGTTTGCAAATAAATCCCGTCATATATAAATTCCATTAAAGACAACTTCTACGGGAAAAAAGAGGGAAGGGACGGTTTATATTGTGCAAATCACAGTCCTGTTTTTTTTTCACGAAATAATATGTCATTTCGTACATGCAAAGCGCATTGAAAGAATATTGTTTGCAAGTTCCTTTACATTTACATAACCGTATAATTTTCAGAGAGTTAAACTTATACCGGCCTCAATAAAACGGATACTTCTTATACAGAGTTTTCATTTACATAATGATGATGTTCTACGCGAATTAGTATTCTGGATCAATCTTAATGAATGCCTTGAAAAGTGTGTGGCGTGCGCGCGCGCGCGCGTATGTGTGTGTGTGTGTGTTTGTGTGGAGTCCACAATTAGCTATTTTAGAACGAATAAAAACAGTTGACGTTTTAAATAAGGGTAGAAACAAAATTAATTTAAAATAATATATTTAAACTAAATACGGATGAGAGAGAATAAGTCGATGAGAATGAGATATTTACGATCAAGCTGAATTTTGGATGCTTTTAATATAATTTCGTGTGAATTTATATACTACGTATTAAATCCCTAAATGTAAGCTGAAATTTTTTCGAACTTACAACGCAAACTAATAAACTACCGCAGTACTATCACGAGTTAAATTGATAAAATTATATATAAAGAACTCTTGTTAATAAACAAATTTAAAAATGAATAAAGGGCATAAGAGTCAAAAATTAAAACTAATCTTATATGTCTAATTAAAAAAAAAAATTTTTTATTACAAAGATAAAATAGAAGATTGATGTTCTTAACAATATAATATATTAGAATTCTAATGTCAATATTATATTATATTTTGTTAAGAACATCAATCTTCTATTTTATCTTTGTAATAAAAATTTTGTTTTAAATTTGACATATAAGATTAGTTTTAATTTTTGACTCATATGCCCTTTATTCATTTTTGAATTTGAGTTAAATTGACTAACAATCTAACAATTTTTATGCTCATTGCATCTCGAATCTTAGTAATATGTTGAATGACATATTAAAATCTATGAATAGCACATTCAAAAATCTGTCAATAATTCATTTAAAATTAACAAATGTAAATTTTACTGTAGATTAGTTTTATATGATTATTTCAGATATGATATAAAATATAATATAGATCTCTCTCTTAAATTATAATAAATAAAAAATATTTTTATAAATGATCTTGATTCAACTACGCCTTGAAATCTTTAAATAATAAAGTTATTTAACATTATTAAGATCGATATAAGATGCGTAAACAGCATCAATAATCGTTAAATTGATAGTCAATTTAACTCGTGATATTATATACTGCGATAGTTTATTAGTGTTTAGTGATAGTTTGCATTTCAAGTCTGAAAAAATTTCGGCGCGTAATCGAAAAATTACATACGTAGTATATAAATTCACACGAAATTATTTAGAAGCACCTGTGATCCAGCTTAGACTGCTGCGGCATTATCTCATTCAGTTTAAAATTTAACGGTCTAATAAGAATTCATATTGTTTAAATAATAGTTTTGCATAAGCAGCGAACATCTATTTGAGTAATCTACATAAGTTGCCATTGAGTCATTCTACATGACTTAAAGTTAAATTCTTATGATTTTTGTGTCGCCTCAAGCAAGAGAAAATTCTCTGTTGTTAGTATAGTAGGGTTCCCGCGATGATACGTTACAATAGGAACTTGTCTAAAACAAATATGGTAAAGGCCAAAGATGGGACAGATATAATAAAGAGTTAAAATAAACATAATCGATTAACTTAGATGATGCCACAGAGATATTATCAGAGAAGTGTAGAAATAATCTGATGGCTATATTGTTTCTTATAATATTAATGTATGCAATAAGCTTCCTTATAAAAGTTTAGTTTATAACATTTTACTCTAAACTATGTTTACAATAAGTTTTAATTTACAGTAACCATTATTTATTTGATCTTTATCAATTTTTAAATAACTTCTTATTTTACTGCTTTAATATTTTATATATTTGTGCGAGTCTTTTACAACATTGTACATACATCTTTTTTTATATAATAATCATTATTGAAAATATTCATACGTTAGTTATAATTTCTACAATTCTTTTACAATAATTATATTACATGTGCTGTATTGTAAATATGACAATATACTCAACATTGCTCACATATTTAACGTTAACAAACTTTACCATTCCTATACAGCAATTAGAAAGAAACTAATGTAAAGCATATGAAAGTCGATGTTAAATTCAAGCTACGTGTAACATGTCATAAATCTTTTATAAACTTTTATTACGCGTGCTTCTTATCATTTTTGTTATTTTAATTGTTACAATAATTAAACACTTCTTTTAATATCTATTTTTAATATCTAATATTTGTTTTTAATTCTGTGAGTTCAAAATTTGGAATATTTTTAACGGAAATTTTGAAAAATTAAAAACGTTCAATTTACTTAGAACACTCTTCAAGCGGGGAATAGGGATATACATTTTATTAACAAGACAACATTCTTTTAGATTCTCTTTTAATGAAAATAAATTCCTATACACTTAGGTATTTCTATATTCACTATTATTTCAAATTAATTTTAATTAGCTTTTAATTATATTTTGAGAATTAAAATCTTTAAAAATATCAAACAATTATTTTATATTTAAAAATCTTTAATTATAAAATTATAAATTCTATTTTACAATTTTTTAAATTTTGTTATATCATTAAGGCTTTAGGACGATATTAGGATATTTTCCACAATTTCATAATCTGTATTGTTTTTTTGGCGAATCGACTTCAATACTTGTACAACAGAAACCTTTCACACAAAGCAAGATACAAGGGAGAGGTTATCTTTTTCTCGTGGCGTACTCGTTGCCATCTTTCAATATAAATTATAAAGCTAAAGGTCACCGGACGCGCTTCTTCGAGACAGAATCATCGTTCGTTGAACACAGATGCCATCACGAATGGCTATTTAATTCGTCAGTCAGAAGTACCAGTTGAATCTGATGAAATAAAACAGGCGCTTTTGAACTCACTAATGAGACCGAATCTCGACTTGCAAGATTATCCAATATCTATATTGAAGATATATTGAAGAAGCAAATAGGTACAACGTGTTGTTATAGAAAGACACTTTTGTTATAATATAAAAAAGGATTTAAATATAAAAATAAAAAAGCATACTAAAAATATTTAATGTTTTAAATATTAGATAAAATTTAATACAATACATTCATATAAGATCCACATTAAAAAGCGTTTATAATAGCTAATGCTTGAAATGAAGCTATAAAGTACAAAAATTTTTGTATGCGAGCACAGAATATTATATATATATAT